TTTTCCCCCCCCCCCCCCCCCCCCCCCCCTTCCCTTCCAGGCAGTGAAGCTCTTCATGCAGACAGATTGTAAATGCCACGGCCTGTCGAGCTCGTGCACCTTACGTACGTGCTGGAAGAAGATGCCTCCCTTCCGTAAGGTGGGCGACCACCTGCTGGAGAGATTCAACGGTGCGTCCAAGGTGATGGGGGGCAACGACGGAAAGACCCTGATCCCCGTGGGCCAGAACATAAAACCTCCCGATAAGCAGGATCTGATCTACTCGGACGAGTCTCCCGATTTCTGCCTGGCGAATCGGAAAACGGGTTCCCTGGGGACGCGGGGACGCATGTGCAACAGCACGGCCATGGACATCAGCGGCTGCGATCTGCTGTGCTGCGAGCGCGGCTACAGGGAGGAGACGGTGGTGTTCGAGGAGAATTGTCTGTGTCGTTTCCACTGGTGTTGCGTGGTGCAGTGTAAGAAGTGCCTGGTCCGAAAAGATCTGAGTCTCTGCCACTGATGACCCGAGGTCCAGGTCGCACATAAGGTCAAAACGCGGTCCGCGGCCCCTTATATTGTCCTTCAGAAACCCCCGGGGGCGTGATCTCTGCAGACGTTGTCGGAGGATAGGCCGCACCGTCCGTTTTCATCGCCCGAAATTTGGTCCAATTGGAATAAAAGCCGCAGCTTTATTTTGTTGACGTACAGTACGCCTGTTCCCGTTTCACTTTATTCAGTTTAGTTTGAGAGAATCCTCAGTGATCCCAGTGTCGACACCGCCACAAGGACGACGTTGTCCACGAAGTTTAATATTAGGCCAAAATCTCCTCGGTTTGTGGGCCATCGGACGGCTCAAAAAAAGGGAAACAAAACGACGTGACGTAGAGGGATGAAATAAAAGAACACGTTCGTTTCTGAACTTCCTGTTGTGTTTTTCTAGTTAAAGAAAAAGGACCAAAGAATGTGAAAATGTTTTTCCATCCAACTGGAAGACGGAGACCTGGACTAACTCCTGGCTGCCACTTCTTCTTCTTCTTCTTCTTCTCCTTCTTCATGCAGTTCACCAGCATCTCTGCCTTGATGTGTGGCTGTCACCTGGTGCAGCACCTGGTTTAACCATGGTTTCCTCTAAACTCTCCACAGTCACCAGGATGAAACTGGGGTCGTTGTTGTTTTGTTTTTTTCTCCTCTGTTCTTAGTGAACCGACTCCGTCTGTTTAGTCTCTGCAGAACTGAATAACATTGTAGTTGCATCTTTAACTGGTGATTAGAAGAATACGCAGAAATGTTGGTTTATTTTATTCAAAACATCTGTCAAACCAAACCCAAACCATGAAAAAAGAAAACAAGGATCCTAGCATATTTAAAGATCAGCGTCAACCCCACGTCACCCAGACAGACTGGACCTGTCAGTGACCTGACAGTTATTTATAAAATGATAAAAATGACAAGACTACTCACTTCCATCTCTGTCTCAGAAGCACTTTGGATAGGAGGCTGCCGCGGACTCAGCCGACCAATGGGAACTCTCTGTGACGGCGGTTTCCTCGTAACCAGCAGAAAAAAGAAAAAAAACCACATGTACTTGTCAGTGTTTGGTTTTGTTTATCTGTTATGGGCTAATGTAATAATGCACTTTGGATGTTGGCTTTCATCAGATATGTACGTGTGTGTGTGTGTGTGTGTGTGTGAGAGAGAAAGTCTGGTTGGGAATTCCCAACTTCATTAATTTGAGTTTGTTTCAAGTCCTGAAGTGTGTGTGTGTTTGTGTGAGAGAGAGAGAGAGACTCTGTGAGTTATTGAACGAGACACCTTGTGAGTGACTGACGAGGTGAAGACCTGCTCTACGTCCATGTCCACGTCCACGTCCACGTCACATGCTCCCATGCTGGTGGTCTAGTTTCTACAGCACCATTTACCGGACACTTCCTGTTCTATATCTTCAACTTCCTGTCGGACGTTAAACTTCTGTGATTGGTTATTAAAAGCACACGGCTTTTCGACTCGCTGTCTCAGTGTGAGGCGGGCAGGATGTTCAAGTGTGTCCGTCGTTTCACTGATGAATCTGTAACGTCATCTCGTCCACGACACCATTAAAACAATGACATATATGAGACACCAGGCCAGAGTGTTTGAATGTTGGCTCAGTGTCCACAGTTTTAGCCCCCGCATCATCGGATGTATGCTGTCTATATGTGCAAATATATGTATGTGTGTAAATATTTATGTATATATTTACGTCTATATTTATATATGTATATATTTATGTATATATTTACGTCTATATTTATATATGTATATATTTATGTATATATTTACATACATATATATAAATATATGTATATATTTACATATAGAAATATATGTAAATATATACATACATATTACACAATAACCTTTTTCAACAGATGAAGTTCTGGTTTCTTTAAAACACCAATAGGAAGTTAAAGGGTTTAAAACAGTGGAACATCGTGGATCTGGATCTAAAAACACTTCACCGCTGTGTATGTTTTGTCGATGACAAATGTATTTTTGCAGGAACGACGTGACGTGACGTCTCAGCAGGTCAGTGCCCGTACTTACTCTGCACAAATAACCAAACGATAAATTAATTCTAATCTTTAATCTCTTCCAGGGTCTTGGGTTTGAAGCCACTTCCAGCAGTCATCAGGTGAGGGCAGTATAACACCCTGGATGGTTCTCTCTTGTTTATCGCAAGATTGTATGTTGAGTCAACTATTCACACTGGTGTTCACACTGGTGTTCACACCAACACTGTCACCAGTGAACTGTGTTTTTGAGGAATACAACCTGCAACCTGGTGTTAGGTTAGGGCACTCGCAGCTCCACGTGGCCCCCTGTGGCCAAATAAATCAGTGCTGATTTGTTGCCTGTTCTGTTCAGGTTATTAGTCCGACTCCATCATGATGATGAACGATGAAGAACAGGGAGGTTACAGCTTATGATGACGACTTCACTCTGTTCATTGAACAAGTCTGTTCTCACAGCCGTCACTGGCTAACACTTGCTAACGCTAACACACAGACATTAAATACTGCGTTGTGTCAACTGAACGCATGCCACATTTTTACGACTTACAAACATTACAGGTCGGAGGTTAAAAAAAAAAGAAAAAAGATTTTGAAACCATAATAATTCAAAGCATCGCTACTGTGAGGAGCCAAGAAGAAAAGTAGAGATTGATTATTGTTGAGTACATGTGAAAACTCCACTGAACGTCAGTGATTACAATGTATTTCCCACAAAAAATTCTATTTCCACTGATCAATGGGAATAAAATAAAAATAAAAAATCTGAAGTTTTCCCACTGTGGCACAACGATAGCAAATATTAGTGAAAATTAATAAGTGAAATTAAAATGCTTTGCAGGACCTCAACACAATTTCTCTCCGTCCCCTAAGGTTGACCCGCCCCCCATTTTGGGAACCAGTGAATTAAGGGGGGTGGAGGGGGGGGGATGCTCATTTCAAATTCAGGCCAGATATCACATACCTTGATATACCTTGGTATTCTAGTAAAATATATCAATATATTTATGTAAATATATATGTGTGTGTATACATGTATATGCATATACTGTGTATTTATACTGTATGTATATGTTTATATATGTCTGTATATGTGTAATATAACTACAGTTTTGTTTTGTTTTTTTTATAAGAAAACGTCATGAGACGTACACACACACACACTCTTTTTGAGAGTGTGTGTGTGTGTGTGTGTGTGTTCACACGTGGTGTTCTTTTCAGCAGAGGACATTCTTCTGTGGCTCTTCTCTGATTAAATTCTTTTGATTCTTTATGCCCTTCAACAAAAAGGTGTTGTTTTGAGGTATTTATGCTNCAAGTTGACACATGTTCCTATTTCCCAGGAATTTGTTGCAGTGAACAGCAGAGTGGAGCGGCTGAACTGAGGACGAGAGGCAGGTCAGAGAGGACAGAAAAAAAAAAAAACAGTTACACATCCCTCACCCTGTTTTCTCCCCTCTTCACCTCCTCTCCTCCTCTTTCTGCCTTCTCTGCTCCCCCCCCTCTGCTGTTTTCTCCCTCTCTCCGTCTAAGCTGTGCAGGTATTCAGAACTGCATGGGCAAAGCCAGAGAAAATAGACAAGTGAGAGGATAGATTTATTGTAGCACTGGTATAAATAGATCTGCCTGTCGACATCTGTGTGCATGTGGCAGCATGTGTCTGTCTTTGTCAGTCAGTCTGTGGGAACGCACGGCCAGGTTAGGGTGTATTTTTCCATGTGTCCCTCCGTGACGGAGACAGTATTAGAGCCTGTGGAATGCACCAGTGTCCCTAGCAGAGATTAGCCGTCCGTCCACCTCCAGGGACGCGTCCACCACCAGGGACACGTCCACCTCCAGGGACACGTCCACCTCCAGGGACACGTCCACCTCCAGGGACTCGTCCACCTCCAGGGACACGTCCACCTCCAGGGACTCGTCCTCCACGGCTGACGTAGACAAAGCTGAGCCTCAGACAACGACGTCAACCCAGGGTTGACTCTGTGTCCACCCTCAGACTGACGGTTCTTATCTGGTTGGTTCTTGGTGGTCTGCTGCCTTCACCACACACACACACACACACCAGTGTCCTCACAAAGACACACACACACAGAAGGGTCTGTTTAATTAATCAGTCAATAAATTAATCTCCAGGATTTGAACGTATTTTTCACACGGTGGTGGAGCCGTTATTGATCTTGTCTTAAAGGAAAAAGATCGACCTTTTGACCCCTGGTGGTCACTGATTTGTGTGTGGATGTCCTCCAGGTACTTTACCTCAATCCCACACTTATTTTAATTAGCTAGATTATAGATTATAATCAGATGATTTGAATTAAACCATAGGTGTGAATTTAAGTCTCCTACAATGGACTGGCAAACTGTCCAGGGTCAAAGGTCATGCTCTGACTGTACAGTAGTAAAGTAAGGGTAGGCCTGGGTTTGGTGTCCTAGACAAGATTACTGTAGGATTTGGCGCCCCCCCCCCCCCCCCCCCCCCCCCCCCCCTCCCCCCCCCCCTCCCCTGCCCATAATTTATTTATTTATTTATTATTAATTTATTATTTCTGATGGGTAACAGCATCACTTTCTCCAGCAGGGGGCTCTGGTGGACTGTAGAACTGATGTTAAAGAGGCCGTGACATAAACAGTTCCAAGTACTAAAACAGTAACACATCATGTTCTCAATCCGTGGCTCTCAACCTTTTTCAGTAGCTCCTTTTTTGTCCTCTCTCTGTTTTTATTGTTGTAGAGAACACATCTGTGGACGCCGACAACACCAGACAACTAAAATGACATCATTAGAAACACTGGAATAAATAGAGTTGTGGAAAAGGCTCAAATGAACCAACATTAGATTAAAATTGTATTTTTATTTTGTCTCACAGTGATTTTTGGACACTTTTGTTACATCACCTAAGAAGACAGCTGGAGGGTCGCTCAGGTTTTTGCCTCTCATGTAAACGTCGTCCTCTTCATTTCTAAAACCCCAGACAGTAAGCGCCTCTTCCTCGGCCCCCGCTCCCTTTTTCTCTGTTATCTTGGGTTGTAAAAACATGGCTGGAAGTGGTGTTGGTGGGAGGCAGGGGGGGTGAGGGGGGGGGAGACCTGCTGTCTGCTCAGGCTGCTTTGGCCGGTTATCTGTCCCTGTGTGTGTGTGGAGAATATTTTTGGTTCGAGGACAGAGACGTTGTTTGTACAGTAAGAGCCGTGGATAAATGAACAATTATAAAACAAGCAGATAATTGGTCAAAGTGTTGTTGTTGTTGTAGTAGTAGTCACACATCACCACTGTATGTGAAACAGGGTGACCACCAAGATCATATTATGTACCACTAGATGGAGCCCAAGTGCCAATAGTGGTCCACATACCGTAGTTAGAGAACCATGGCTATGTTTCATCTGCTGATGTTCGTTTTGGCTAAAAAAAAAAAAGGTTTCAAATTACATTTCTAGATTTCAACACAAGATGGCGTAATTGGAGCATAAACTGGAGGCGTGCAGACTGTTCTGAAAAGAAAGTGATGACAATAATGACTGAAAAGTCAGTCACACAGAGTCAGTCACATTTTTTCATTAGAAAAAAAATTAATTCTTTAAAAAAAGTTTTAATTATTATAATTATTTAATGATTTCTATTTCATCTTAATTTTTTTTACAGGGTTGTGGGTGGAGTCAAGCCTAATAGTCATAGGGCAAAGGTCACACCCTGAACAGTTCTCCCGTTGCATCAGTTACAAATGGGGATCAAACCTGTAGCCCTGCAGCTGTAAGGCAGGAGTCATGTCACACTGAGATCAGAGTGTTTTTGTTTCTAATCCTGTCCCTTTATGTTTCCACAGGATTGTTTTAATTTCACCATCAGCCTGGAGGAAGAGAACACACAGAGGCTTCACACCCAGTGTCAGTG